TTTGCAAGCTCCCTCTGGTGTGGTCCCCCTGCCACTCTGCCCCCAGGGCTGTCTTGTGGGAAATTTGAGGATCCTAAATATCTTAAAAGTAGCTTGCTTGTTTTGGTGAGAGGCCTTGTGTCCCTCCTAGGAGAAAGTACACTGTGGGTCTCATTCTGCTCAGCTGTCTCCACACTCCTGGCCCTGTTGTCCAGTGGCCAGGCCCATTAATATTTGACGGCCTTGCCACCCAGCAGACCAGGCTGCAAGGGGAGAGACAAACAGCGATGCAGTCAATGGAGCCCTTTGAATCTGAGCACAAAACCCCAGTGAGTCAAAGCTGGGGGCCAGGGTGTTGACAACCATATGGCCACAGCGCCTAGATGCCAAAGCTGCTCAGAGACAGGACAGGCCACCTCTGTGCAGGCAACAGTCTTGAGCAGAGGGAACAGTTGTCATATATAGTGTTAGTGGTGCAGGCTACAAGAGCGCCGCCCCCAGTGGCTGCCCCTGCTGTGTCTCGCCATTTTGTCTAGTTTTAGGACTGTGTTCTTCACTTGTGGACGGACCCTATTCTAGGGGTTGTGTTACAATTGGCTGCTCTCTGGGGTCAGATCCCCGAGCAGTACTCATACTAAGAACTCTGTTAGAAGCAATTTTTGCCAGCTGTTCTTGTCCTTAAGACTGGGCACGCAAACTGCCCTGCCGTTGACGGCTTTGTTTCTGGTTCCCCAACCCCGTACCACATTTCTAGCAGTGGGACTGAGTCTTTGTAAGGACCCTAGTAAAACAGTGGCCATCCACTCATGGGGCCTCAGCCTGGGATCACAAGAGACTGAGCTTCCTGCACCAGGTAGAGGCTGCTTCCTGCCACCAGCTTGGGCAGAGTGGTTACCCCAAGGGGAACCTCTGGGAGTAGTGAGGGGAGACTCTAGTGAGGCTGTGGCTCCCTGGCTCAATGGGTTCACTAGTGACTAGGCGTAATGACGTCTCTCAAAACTGCCGTCTCTAGGACAGTGGTTCTCAGCCTTACTAACGCCTCACATGCTGTGGTGACCCCCAACCATACAGTTATTTTCGTTGCTACTTCATAGCTGTAATGTTGCTACTTTTAGGAGTCAAAATGTCAGTAACTGTGTTTTCCGATGGTCTTAGGCGACCCCTCTAAAAGGGTTCTCCAACCCCCCAAAGGGATTGCAGCCCATAGCTTAAGAACTGCTGCTCTAGCCGGGCGTTGGTGGTGCACGCCTTTAATCCCAGCACTCGGGAGGCAGAGGCAAGTGGATCTCTGTGAGTTTGAGACCAGCCTGGTCTACAAGAGCTAGTTCCAGGACAGCCTCCAAAGTCACAGGGAAATTCTGTCTCGTAAAACCAAAAAAAAGAACTGCTGCTCTAGGCACCATGCCAGCTGCAGCCCTCAGCCTAGGACAAAGGGCTCATGGGGGGGGGGGACACGGGGGAGCTAGAGGTCTCTGAGGAAAGATCAAGATTCGAGAGAGAAACTGGGAGTGAGAGCTCATGCAATTCTAAGACGGAAATCTGAAGCACCCTGAGCAGGGAAGAACAGGACCCTCAAACTCACAGAAGAGAAGAAGGGTCTCATCCCCGTTTGCGGGTCACCCAGTGTATGACTATAGGAAGGCTGCTTTATCTGCAGTGGCCAGCACCAGGTGATGCTTCACAAGCCCCTGTAAATAAAAGGGCACAGGACAGGGATTGGAGAGATGGTTCAGAGGTTAAGAGCGTATACTGTATTTGCAAAAGACCTTGGTTCAGGTCTCAGCACCCCATGGTGGCTCACAACCATCAGGAATAAGTTCTAAGTGACCCAACCGACATTCTCCTGACCTCCTCGGGCACTAGGGGGTCACCGGTACATGTAAGGAATGAAACATCATGTGTGGCGCAAGTCAGTGTTTGGAGGCAGGGTGAACAAACGCTGGCTGGCCTCAGTCCCTCCTCCCATTGGCACTGCCGGCTTCCTCTAGGTGCCGCCATGCTGCCATCGCTAAGTACTTTGGAGACGCACCACCTGCCTGCGCCAAAGGCTGTGACCACTGCCAGAGTCCTGCAGCCGTAAGGAAGAAGCTTGATGCCCTGGAGCATAGCAGTAGCTGGAGTAAGACCTGCATCGGGCCCTTCCAGGGGAACGGCTTCGATCCAGAACTGTATGAGGGAGGCCGCAGAGGCTGCGGGGGCTTCAGCAGGTGAGAGACTGTGAAGTACATCCGCTGGTGCTAGGCAGGCCAAAGGTAGCCTTCTGCAGTGTGCCATATGACTCTTCCCAGGCCTGCCCATCAAGTGGCTGGAGTGGGGAAGAGCAGAAGCCCCACCCTGGGTGCTCACACCTCGCCTGTCCTCTAGATATGATGAAGGTTCTGGAGGTAGCGGTGACGAGGGCAGAGATGAGGCCCGCAAGCGTGAATGGAATCTTTTCTATCAGAAGCAGATGAGCCTGCGCAAGGTAAAGGAGGCAGAGCCCTTGACGGGGCTCAGTGGCTCTGTTAGTTTGGTTTCTGTTGCGATGACAAAACACAGTGTATGGCCAAAAGCAACTTGGGAAGCAAAGGGTTTATTTGGCTGTCACTTCACATCACTGACCAGCATCAGGGAAGTCAGGAGCCTGCAGGTAGAACTGAAGCAGAGACCAGGAGGTGTGCCCCTCACTTGTTCAACTTGCCTTTTATGTATCCCAGGACCACTTGCCCAAGAATGGCAAAACTCACAGTAATCTGGGCCCTCCCACATCAATCATTTCCTCAATTGAGGTACCCTCTTCCCAGATGACTCTAGTTTCTGTAAAGTAAACAAACAAAAAAACCCTAAGCCAGCATGGTAGCATATGGCTTTAATCCTAGCACTTGGGAGGCAGAGACAGGCAGATCTGAGAACAAGGCCAGGGACAACATAGTGAAACCCTGTCTCAAATGTATCTCCTCCACCCCCCAAAAAATAACCGGCACACAGTGAACCATACAAGGTCCTAGATGGCCCCCTGTTTACTTCCTCAGTTCCTTTTCTTGCCCTCAGTGGGAGCTGCCCTGCAGCAGGACAGCATGTCTCATGGTCCCTCATGCTTTCTGTCTTCCAGGGCAAAGAGGCCAAGACAGAAGAATTCACACCCCCAGGTTGGTACGGAAATGCCCCCGGGGGCTTGGGTGCTTTGCCTAGGCGTGAACAGTGGATGGCTCAGTGAGGGTTGGAGGACTCCAGAGAGCTGGTCAAGTGGAAAACCCTTTCTACCCTTTTCTCAGATGAAGACTGTCCCCTGAGAGAGGCTTCAAGCAGGAAGATCCCTAAGCTCACAGTGAAGGTAAGAGAAGGGTGCCCCCTCCCCCGCTCCCTCACCCCCAAACCTGAGGGTGGGTGACCAGGACTTCACTCTCTTCACAGGCCCGTGAGCACTGCCTGCAGCTTCTGGAGGAGGCTTTGAGCAGTAATCACCAGGCTGCAGGGGCCACTGATGGGTGAGTGTCCTGCAGTATCCAGTGTGCGGACCAAGGCTTATTCCTTCCCAGAATGCCGCTCTGTAGATCATGACCCATCCCGCTGCATGGCTCTCAGTCCCACAGCCCTACCGGGTGTGCACCAGAGACTGCCAAAGGCTACTGAAGGACAGTAAGCCATAGAGTACCTAGAGAGTCTTGACCAGAACCTGTGTGCCCATCCTCACCAGGTCCTGAGGCTAGCAAACGGTCCCTGAAGAGAAACCAGGAGGACCACAGGGAGAGGACTGAGACCTGCGTGTTCTCTCCTTCTCATTCCTTCCCACAGAGCTGACCTGCAGGCCAAAGCAGTGGAGCTGGAGCATGGGGCATTCCGGAATGCCAAGATGGTCAACCTGTACAAGGCCAGTGTTCTAAAGAAGGTAGGTCCATGTCATAGAGCTCATCCTTCTTGGCTAACTGGGGGTGTTCTAGCCATCCCAGCGGGAACCGGCATGTCCCCAGCATGCACTCTCCACTGACTGCACAGCAGAATTAGAGGATCTGGACTGGAGCTACGCAGTAGTTTGTGGATGCCATGATCCCCCTTGCCTTGATCCCTCTTTAGGTGGCTGAGATCCACAAGGCCTCCAAGGATGGTCAGCTCTATGACATGGACGGTGGCACCAAGAGTTGCAGTGCTGGGGTTGAGCCCTCAGAGCCCAATGACTATGATGTCCCCCCAACCTCACACATTTACTCGGTGAGCAGCATCCAGGTACCCACTCCCCCTTGTCCTCAGGTGGGAAGACTCCTATTGTCTCCTGGCATCACAGCCCTGCCCAGCCCAGATGTCAGGACAGACCATAGAGCATCTCAGTATTTGTCAGCCTGGGCTCTTCTCCAGCTGTGTCCCGGTCAGCTCTTTTCTCCCATGTTCCTGAGAACCTCTCAGCATAGCCACACCTGCCCTTGAGGTCTGGGGTCCTGAGCCTTCTGGCTTCCTCTTTTTCCTCACAGCTCAAACCCAAGAGAGTAGGAGCTGGCTTCCCCAAAGGCGCCTCCCCGTTCCAGACAGCCACAGAACTGTTGGGGAAGCAAGCCCCCAAGGGTGTGCCGGGAGGTGAACAAGGCCCCCCAAGCTGGTGCTGTGACTATCAAGATGAAGACAGGAACAAGCCCCTCCCTGAGAACCAACGAGAGGCTCCTGGAAGTAGTGTCAACTGTGGGGAGCTCTCGCCTCAGAAGAGGACAAAGGGCTCTTCCCAGGGCAGTGTCAGGGCTGGAGCCAGCAAGAAACAGCAGCTCCTAGCTGCAGCAGCCCTCAAGGATTCCCAGAGCATCACTCGATTCCTCTGCCAAAGAGCAGAGAGCCTACCTTCACCTGCTCCAGGCCCAAGATCAGGAGACGTCACCCCCTCCTGTGGAGGCGAGCCAGAAGACTGCACACAAGTTGGAGCCCAGGCACATTTGAGTGCTCGAGTTCAGACTGAGTGTCCCAGGGAGGGGCCAAGGTAAGAGTTCAGGTATCAGGGAACCGTCATTCCATGGCAGCATCAGAGCCCTTTGCTACCTCTGAAGCATGAAGTCCATCACAGTGGGCCCTGCTGGGCTACCTGGGTCCAGAGAGCAGCCAGACCCAGACCTCTGATGCTGTTTTCCCTCCGGCCAGCACCTGCTCACTGCAAGTCCACAGCTGTCCTGAAGGTCAGCCTAGCACTCTACAGGAAGCCCAGGCAGGCAAGCGGCCCAGACCTCAGCAAGTACTAGAGGAGGTGCGTGGTGAGGTGGAGAGCTGCAGAGCTGCCCGGGGTCAAGGGTTAGGTCAGGGAAGATCACTTCTCTTGTCCTAGAAGCAGGTGGGGTAGGTGGGGGGAAGGCTCCTGGTGTTGAACATGCAGGCTTCCTTCCAGAAGGGAGGGTAGAGCCGGTAAAGGGGAGCCCCAAAGTGACCCATCCGTGCTGGGCCCTATCCAGGAGAGCTCAGAGAGAACTCAGAAGAGGCTTCGCCCCTCAACCAATTCCTCCATCTTGGCTGAGGCCAAGGGCAGTGCCTTGGCCAGTGATCACAGCACTGAGAATAAGGTGACTGGAGAACATTGCCAGCTCTCAGCTCCTGGCATCTCTGTGAAAGAGGCTGCCGCTGTTGTGGTCAAGTACCTGACCCCTTTCTACAAGGAGGGCAGGTTCATATCCAAGGTAGGTGCGTGTGGCTGGAGTAAGTGGGTTAGTGCAGGGGTGAAGGGTGCAGGGAGTGTGCATCCCTGAATGAAATAGGGCAGATAAGGCCAAGCCTCGAGCCAGGCCCAGCTTCTGCCCTTGGTGGTGGCTTCAGGGCTTCCTCCTCTTCCTTTGCCATCTAGGAGTTGTTTAAAGGCTTTGCCCGCCACCTCTCACATTTGCTGGCTCAGAAGACCTCTCCTGGAAGGAGTGGTGAGTGCCCACCTGGCCAGGGCCAGAAGGCACTATGGCAGGGGGCGGGAGGGGGGCCCTTCCCGGAGGAGACAGGCCCTTACCTTCTCCTGTGTCCCTTCTCTGATCTACAGTGAAGAAAGAGGCCCAGAGCCTCATCAAACAGTTTTTCCATGATCGTGCCCGCTGTGAGAGTGAAGCTGACTGGCGTGACCTATGTGTCCCACAGAGATGACCTGCTGCTGCTGCTGGCTGAACAGGGTCAGCATCCCGCCTCCTGTCATGGGCAGGCCCATGCCAAAGGAGCTAACTTTCTCAGGGCACCCCCCCCCAGCTCCTACGCCTACCAGACCTCAATTAAAGGTGTCATTAGACACTCAAACCAAGCAGAAGGTCAGAGGTTAGCCCACCTTCCTGCTCAAAACCCCATGGTCCTTTCTCTCAGCCTGCTGCTCCTGGCCTTCATGGCCAGGTCCCCATACAGCTGCAGCCAGAGAAAAATGCAGTGACCTTCCCATCTTGTTCTTGAGTTCTCTGCCATTCCCACTGTCTTCCTTTAGACACCAGGCTCCAGGCCCTGACCATCTGCTGGTCAGCAAGGCCAGACCCAATGAAATGTGTGCAAGAATAAAGTCCTACTGGAGACACATGCTCACACAGTTCTTTTCTTGGGCATTTTATTTGCACAGAAGCTGCTCCATTCAGGCCCTGTGCCATCCCAGAGCTGAGTGGGCATTTTCCCCAGGCAGGACGTGAGATGCCCAAGCCAAGTTCCTACAGCCCCAGCTCTGGGTTCAGTACATCTCAGAGGAATGCGTCTGCCTGCTTTCCCAGTTGATGTCACTGTGGCAACCCCTGCCTTATGGCCTCCACTTGGGGTTGTGCTGTGAAAGTTTCAGAGCAGAGCCAGGCTGCGGAGATGAGAGAACCACCCAACAGCCAAGGCAGGCTGCCCAGTGAGACGCTGGTGCCTCATCTCCTCAGCTGAGGCCTGGCCACTGAGTAGAGGACATGCTGTCCTCCAGCAGGAAGACAATGGTGTGCTTCAACTCCTGGGCCTGCCGGGCAGAGACGGTTCAGTGCAGCTCTCCCTACCCCCCTCACCTCTGTCCACACTGCCCCTAAACAGAGACCAGAGGCCTGGGCCCCTGCTATACACTGTTGCTGGGGAAACACTCACCTGTGGCAGCTCCAACCAGATGGTGTGGGGGTTGTCAGCAGAACCGTAATTGAGTTCCAGGCCGGGGGCCCCATTGTCCTCCAGCGGGCTGAGCAGGTGGAGCCGCTGCAGGTCTCTCAGGGGGATGGAGCAGCAGAGTCTCTGAGGTAGCAGATACAACAGAGCAGCGTTGGTGCAGAGTGGGGAGCAATGCATGGGGTGAGGACTGAGCCAGGCATCTGAGCCAGCGCAGGAGCGGGGCCTCTACCCACCTGGGAGCTGGAGTCCATGAGGACGAGGTGCTGCCGGTTGAGCCCCAGGAGGATTGGGCCAGGAAGGCTCAGCTTACTCACTCTCAGCACCACGTACACAGTGTAGCCGAAGAGGGGCAGCTGCGTTGTGCTCTCTGTGGGTCACACAGGACAAGTCTTGATTGCAGATCTCTGGGACCTGCCTCACTTTGTGTCCCTCCCCCCCCCCCAGGGAAAGTGAAGGGTTACCGGGCATAGAGGCCTCCTCACCCGGCCCACCAGGGCTTGACCCTCACACCCAGCTTTCCCTTGACGTAGACCCACCAATAAAGTCTATCTGTGCTCTCTGTGCACTGTATCCTTGCATCTGCCTCAGCTCCTGGCCCACCAAGCTCCTTATGTTGGCTATGTTCACCTGCTGTTGCAGTGGCTTAGGGATGTATACCAGCAGCTCTTGCCTAGGGTTACAGCCTGGGTCATTGGGGCCTGTGGCCTTGGGGGAAGAAAGGTGGTAGGCAGGAGGTTTGGGGGAGGGGGAGGGGCTGGCAAGAGGTTGAGCCGAGCTCACGCACTCTGACGGGAGACTTTTGCTGGCTTTCCTGAGGTGTTGCAGGGCAGCCAGCCGGGCAAGTTGAGCATCTGCCTGGGCACTGATCATCAGCTTCCCTTGCAGGTAGTCCCGGAGCACCTGAGGAGGAAGGTCCGGAGGGGCAGTGGTGTCACAGCCTCCCCAACAGTTGGTGACTTTTAGAGAGTCAAACTTGTTCTTGCCCCCATCCCTTCCAGCTGCTACAGAGCCCATGGTTGTGGAGAGGGAGTCCAGGGGCTGCCTAGCTGGGAGCTCTCCCTTAGCAGCAGTACTGCACAGCACTTCTGGGCAGGGGGCTGACCTGACCATAGTGGGTTTCAGTGTAGGTGGGGTGGTCGAAGTGCAGTGGTGTCTCCCAGCCAAGCCGCCGACTGTGCAGGCTCATGTCCTTGTCTGTCACCGCACTGTTGAGGTACTCATGGGGGGACAGTGGCCGAACTAGCTCACCTGCACAGGGGACCCACGCCAGAATTGACCACATAATGTAGCTCCTGTGGGGTAGTCAGGGGCCCAGGCAGGTAAGGCTGCCCCTTCCCCTGGGCTCACCTTCGCCTTTGATGAGGAAGAGGGCAAATTCCTGCACTTCCTGGGAGTCTGTGATGCCCATCTGTCCACACAGCTCCTCCAGCACTTCTCCTGCCACCTGGGCACATGACAGGTCAGGATGATGGAGACTAGAGGCCCAGAGCCTAGGCACCCAGCCTCTTTCCTCAGCAGCCCGTGCTCACCGTGAATGTCTGTACATTTGTCCTGTAGTCCACACCCCCAGGCAGATGAATTAGAAGTGAACGAACTGCTTGCCCTTTCTGTCAGGTAAGTTGTGTTAGTCTCCAGCAAGCAGAGGTCACTGCTGTCCAGTTGACACTTCCAGTCACCCTACCACCCCCCATTACAGGCAAGTCCTAATACCAGAAAAGCTTGCATTTCACCGGGTGGTGGTAACTTGTGGCGCCCCCCATATTTAACTGTGCGCTGGAGGTTCTCCTGGCTGCTCCGGGCCAGCTCTGTAGAGTCAGAATAATGAAATCACGGGTTTATCCAAGCCCCTTAACTGACAGGGCATTCTTGGTCTTGGAAGCCCCCTCTCCCCCACCCGGGCACCTTGGCTAGGGCTGGAATCCTGCAGGAATTTGGTCACATAGGGCATCAGAGTGGTGGACGGTGCGAAGAAGCCTGTAAAGAGGCTGAGGACATTCCAGCCCAGAACGCAGTGATTTCTGCAGGGCAGAGCTGGGTTTCAGGCTGGCCAGACCACAGGGCTGTTCCGACCTGAGTCCCCTGCCCCACAAGCCCCACTCACGGCTGGGGGTGTCCTGTGACTTGCTTGATGACCTGGCAGTACATCTCATCCCTGAGGTCCTCTCTGCACAGCTGTGGGGACGGGAAGAGTGAGTGGGTAAGGCAGAGACAGGACTGCAGAACCCAGGGGACTGCTGTGTGTGATGGCTGGCTAGGGGCCCGATGTTAGAAATACAGCTATGGGCCAGGCGGTGATGATGCACACACCTTTGATCCTAGCACTCAGGAGGCAGAAGTAGGTGGATCTCTGAGTTCAAGGCCAGCCTGGTCTACAGAGAGAGTTCCAGGACAGCCAGGGCTACACAGAGAAACCCTGTGTTGAAAAACGAAGAAAATAAATACAGATAGATAACGGCTGAGGACTGAATGAAGGTAACATCACAACTGTCACCTCTTCTCTGCCCCAGCAGCTGGCAGCCTTTGCCCAGCAGTCTGCCCCCCCGCACCCCCCCCCCGCTTCTTTTTTTATGTAACATTGGAGATGGAACCCAAGGCCTTAAGAATTCTCAACCAGGGTACTGGAGAGATGGCTCAGCAGTTAAGAGCACTGACTGTTCTTCCAGAGGTCCTGAGTTCAATTCCCATCAACCACATGGTGGCTCACAACCATCTGTAATGAGATCTGGTGCCCTCTTCTGGCCTATAGGCATACATGCAGGCAGAACACTGTATACATAATAAATAAATAAAATCTTAAAAAAAAAAAAAAAAATGCTCGCCAAGCCGGGCATTGGTGGTGCATGCCTTTAATCCCAGCGCTCGGGAGGCAGAGGCAGGCAGGGGCCAGCCTGGTCTAAAGAATGAGTTTCAGGACAGCCAGGGCTACACAAAGAAACCCTGTTTCAAAAACAAAACAAAACAAAAAACAAAGGGAAAGAAGCTAGACAAGAGCTGGTGAGAAGCGCCCCCCACCCCCAACCCGTTAAGAGCTCTTGCTGTTCCTGCTCCCAACACCCACTTCAGGCAGATCACAGCCACCTGGAACTCCAGTTCCCGGGGACCTAGCACCCTCTTCTAGTCACTGCAGTCACCTGTACATATGAGAACATATAAATAATTAAGCCCTAAAAAGAATGCTAGGCAGGGGCTGGCAAAGTGGCAGGACAGTCCCAACCACATCCTGTCCCAGTGATTTACATGGTGGAAGGAGTGCATGCGTGTGTGCGTGTGTAAGTACACACATACATACGCACACACACAGAATTAAACAAGTGTAAATAAATTCACACTGCTAAACAGGTGCCCTTTAGCACTGTGGTGAGAACTGGTTACTGACTAGCCAGCCTGCCTCTCTGAGCTGTCTTGGTTATCTTTGCTGACTTCCCATCTCTACTGCATGCTTTGGGCCTCTCTACAGCTTTCCCATCTGGCTTGGTCCCTGACTCCAGCCTAAAGCGTCCCCTTGGATCCCAGGCTACCCCATTAGGAAATCAGGTGCTCTAGACCTGTATCTAAAACAAATCCTCTGCCGGCTCAGGCCTGCTCGATAAGGCCAGTTTCTGCTCTGACTTCACACACACCCACACAGCAAGCCCTGTGGACACCCCACACACACTTGCTGCTGCCTCTGGGCCCACGCCAGCACCTCTCTCGCCTGGGTCACCACAGTAGTCCCTAGAGCATCAAAAACAAGCCAGAGTGACACTGCAAAATGCGAACAGTGGTTCCATCAGCAAGCCATAGGTTTAACTGGTAAAAATCAATGCCCATATAATAGCCTGACCCCATGCACACATCGCTCACTCCTCCATCAGGGCTATGTCACCCAGCAGCAGCCGCAACTTCCCCTTGTCTCCTGTGGGATTGTACACTCCAGGACTTTGTCTGCTTCACCGGCCCTTTACCTTATGGGTACCAGTGCATGCTTGAGGGTTTAGAAGTAACTGGAGACAATGTATCTTAACTGTATTTGTAGAGCTGGTAAAGGGCTCAGTGGGCAAAGAAGATTGCGGTCAACCTAATTACCTTAGTTCCATCCCCAAGACCCCATACACTAGAGAATCATTGCCCACAGATTATCCTCTGACTGCCACAGATATGCCATGGTACGCGCGCACACGTACACACACACACACACACACACACACACACACACACACACGCTTGTGCGTATAGGAGTAGGGTTGGCACAGATGGCAGCAATATGGAAGGCTTAGGAGGTAGGGGTCACATTAATCTGTGTTCCTATAGAAACTAATTGAATATTTGGCTTTATATAAACTTTAATTTTCAAACTTGCTACTAAAGAGTGTGCCCCTTGGCTCTTGGGCAAGCATTTGTAGTTCATATAATAGAATGGCCCAAAATGTAGTGCTATGAACTGGGGTTTTGGGTTTTTTTTTTTTCCCCCGAGACAGTGTTTCTGTGTAGCTTTGGAGGTTGTCCTGGAACTAGCTCTTGTAGACCAAGCTGGTCTCGAACTCACAGAGATCCACCTGCCTCTGCCTCCCAAGTGCTGGGATTAAAGGCTTGTGCCACCAATGCCCTGATGGGTTTTGGGTTTTTTTTTCTGGGTTTTTTTGTTGTTTCGTGGGTTGATTTGGTTTTGGTTTTTCAAGACTGTAAGCTGTTTTGAAGATAAAGTGGTTTTGTTTTTATTTAGTTTCTTTGAGACAGGGTTTCTCAGTGTAGCCCTGGTTGTCGTGGCACTCACTCTATAGACCAGGCTAGCCTCAAACTCACAGAGATCCGCCTGTCTCTGCCTCCCATATGCTGGGATTAAAGGCGTGCACCACCATGTCAAAGATAAGTATTTTTTAAATGGTTGAGAAACTGAGATGGAGAGTCCCATTCTGGCCCAGGCAGGAAGGGTGCTCAGGGCCTTAGCACAGTTCTTGCTTACCGTCAGCAGCTCGTACAGCAGATCCAGCTCATCCTTGCCCCGGGGCTTAGGCTGGTCCCCCATAAATTGCATCAGAGCTGCAAGCAGGATATGGGGCACAGTAAGCACTGTACAGGTCACCTGGCCTCTGACACCTTACACTCCAAACACATAACACCAGGCAAGACAGTCATCTGTAACTTTGTCGAGGAGGAAATAGGCTCAGGAAAAGCCCAAGGGTGCCCATGTCAGCTGAGCCCATCAACTGCCCCAGATGTCACACGGCCCATGGACAGAAACACAAGCTGGTGGAGCAAGCTTCTTGATACGGGCGGATGGGCTGATTCAGGGAGAGCACAGAGAGGGGAGTCAGGTGCCTGGGTCCAGAGCACAGCCAGTGGGGACAGAGGTTGCTTGCAGCCACTCACCCTTGAACCCAGCCACAGCCTTCCTGTTGATGTCTTCATTGCTGAGGCTGAGGAGGGATTCCTGGATGGGGTCCTGTGGCCAAAGAGCCTTAGCTGTGACTCTAGAGCCATGGGAGTTGGAAGGCCGATCCTTGCCCCCGATTCCTCCCCACCTGGCCCCTTACCTTGGTGTACTGGACCAGGCTGACTTCAGCCTTGTCATTGGCACCTCTACCTGCCTGGGCTAGCCTGTAGAGGGCAAGGGAAGACACAGCCCTGGTTATTGGCCCTCCTGCTCTCGTTCCAGGCTACAAAGCCGATGGTAGTAAGAACCACGGCCTGGTGGCTCTGTGGTGCTTGTATTACAGAAGACCAAGGACAGATAGGCAGACGGGTTGGTTTGAGCACTCACAAGGTCTGAGGCTTCCGGAAGTAGCGCAGGGCAAATTCCTGCATGGTGTAGTTGTGGGAGTCCGCAGAGAAAAGGCTATAGGCCGCGAAGGACGTGGCCTCTGAGTCTTCACTGGGCTCTTGGCTCCTGGGATGGGTGGGGCGCTGGGAGCACAGGAAACTTGGTACCACCCCAGTGCCCTCCACCTAGCCCAGAGGCTCTGTTCCCACTCTTACCGCCTGGTCCCCATACCCATTAGGCCCTTGGGGGTGACACCAGAGCCAGGAAAGCCACGGTTACTAAGCATCTTCAATGAGGCACTGAACTAAGTACCACAGTCTTACAGTCTTGCTGGGCGAGAGGCGAGATGCGAGATGCGAGAGGCGAGAGGCGAGAGGCGAGATGGTAAAGATAAGAGCACACTGAGCACCACCCACCAGGCCACAGGAAGTCCGCAGAACCTGAGGCAACCCTGCTCTTTCCTTGTAAGACTCCTACTGATGCCTTCATCACTTCACCCCTGTCTTCCTCACCTCGTGAGCTGGCCCTGTCTTACTCTTGCGATGCCAGCTGTTTCTCTGTCCCAGGGAGAAGGAGAAGTCCGGAGCAGCAGCTGGCTGCACCACGTCAGCAGGAAAGAGTCCCGAGTGGCCACCAACAGAGCCAAACTGCCAGCCTAGAAGGCATTCCCAAATGATGGTTCGCCTACCTCCCTCTGTCCCTTGGCAGCCTCCCTTGCCAGTCTTGGGGAGTACCTGGCTCCAGAATGCCCGCTGGCAGTAGCTTAATGAGATCCCCACGGTGGAAGCTGAGGAGGCTGTGGTCATCAGTGATGTAGCTGCGCAGGGCGATGACGTAGCCAGAGTCCTGCAGGCAGGGGGGCCGGTCTGGATGTCCTCCCACCCAGTACCCAGGAGTAGCCGGGACCTTGACTCCAGCCTCCACCCAGGGAAGCCAGGCAGGGTAAGAGAGCCCACACTTGCCTTCTTGAGTTCATTCAGGAACTGCTCCACCATGGCCTTGATGGCCCTCGCCTGGGCGGTGTGCAGTGTCAGCTGTTCATTCTTCAGAGACAGCTCCAGGGTAGAACTGCTGCTGCACCCCACAGCCAGCACCTCTGCAAAGCTGCATATGCAGACACGGTGTGAGCTGGGGCCACCCTGCCGCCCCGGCCAGGCTCTGGACCAGCTCACCTGTAGGAGCAGAGTGTCTTCAGCCGGTCCAGGTGGAAGCTAGGGTCTCGGGTCACCTTCAGCAGTCTCAGTCCCCGGTGAGACACACCCAGCATCTGTATGTCACTGCCACTTTCACCCTGTCAGGAAGGCAGGCATGTCGGTCATTCCTGGTACCGCCCAGGTGTCTGGAGCCCTTGAGTAGAGAGGCCCAGAGCTGAGCTCCCTAAGTTCAACACCACAGACCGAGACTGGGAAGATACGTGAGAAGTAATTGGCCCAGTTGTCTCGGGCAGCCACCACAATGCGCTTTTTGATGCTGTCTTCGGTCGAGTCGAGGGAGTCCAGGCCCACTTCCAAGTCTCCTGTGGGCAGGAGGGGTCCATGATACCCTGGCTCCAGTGACACTTCCCCTCGGGGCAAGTCCAGCCCCCACCCCCCAGCTCTCGGGACCCATACCCAACAGGTCCTTCATTTTCTGCCGCTCACTCTGGGAGATTCTGATGCAGGACTCGGTGAAGGTGTCCTGTATGATCTGGAGGCAGAGCAAGGTGGTCAGCACCAGGTCCTGAAACCAGAGCTCACCCCAGGCATAGCAGCCGTGGCGTGTAGTGGAGGAGAGAAAGACAAGCGCCCAGGAGTGGGGCTGCATGCCCAGCAGTACTGACTGGGGCCTGCCAGAGACACAGGTGGGACAGGGGCGAGGGGACAGGGGACAGGGGATGGCAAGGCCCTCAAATCCCAGGATCATGTCCAAACCTACAGCTCTCTCTCCCCTCCCCACCCTGCAGCCACTGCAACTCCTTCCTTTGGCTCCATGGTCTGCTGCTATTGACATGGTGTACCAGCTGACATATGACGCCTGGCCAAAAGTGACCAAGGACAACCACCATCTATGAAACAGTGTGTGCCAGATCCTGTGCCTTGTACACTTTGCTTGGACCTCTCTTTTGTAAAACTAAGTTGTCACCACCCCGATTTTGCAAGGGTACTGAGGCGAGGTCCTACACGCAGGAAGTGCCCCTGAGTGCCAGTTGTCACTGTGCCCCTCACAGACTGTTAACTAGGCCCAGATTTGAGTGAAGGTCCTGGGATACAGTCTGTGGGTATGGCAGGGTGGAGGGTGGGCCAGGCTCTCACCTGCTGGCAGAGAAGGTTGAGACAATAGGGATGGCTGAAATTCTCCCGGGGGTAGAACACCTAAGAGCAGGATAGAAAGAGCTGAGATCATGCCAGGCCATGTCCCAGCTAGCCTGTCTCTCTTCCCAGGCCCAATCAGCCTTGAAAAGGTGGTTCATGGGGAAGGGATGTGCTGGGCTTTCAGGTGAGAACCTGGAACAGCCTATCAACTCTCCTGCCAACCTCAAAAGTCCGAGGCTCCTCCCCCATGCCCACCTCCTTTCGTAAGAACAGCTTCCAGGGTGCACTTGCGTACGAGAAGCACACACTACCCGAGGGCACAAGGAGCTTGGTGGAGATCCCCAGGTCCTCCATGGGCTCTGTCAAGGCTAGCAGAGGGAGGGAAGAGGCTTAGATGCGGCTGACAGACCTGGACTAGGTTGCCAGAGACCCTTGAGTTCCCGTTTTTTCTCAGTCTCAACTTCAACTGCCTGGCACCAACTCCTGCCTTCACTTCTGGCCCTGAGTTTTTCCTAGTGTCCCTGGCCACAATGGCTGCAGCCACTAAGTTCCCTGGCCCCACCAAATAAAACCTGACAGGTCTTCATCAAGGACAGCACCCTCTAGAGGCCAGTCCCTTAGTGCCAAACAGGCTTCAAAGTGCTTCAGCCCTACCCTAGATAGGAATGAGGAATCCAGGACTCCAAGGCTCCAAAGTCCAGCAGCCCAAACAGCTGGCCTCAGCCAAATACGGATGACTTTTGCTATAGGTCCCAAGAGGCTGTCATGCGTCCCCCACCAATCCAAAGAGACTCAACACAGGAAACATGAATTCCCTCACCATGAGACCCCACTGAATGGGCCTTGGGTTCCTCAGGCAGAGACAATGGCAGTGGGGGTGGGGATGGGGGTGCTGGAGTTGTGGATGGGTTTGGGCTACATGGGCCAAACAAGTCCCGAAGGGGTCCCTGCTTTTCCTGGATGGATAGGGAGGGCTCAAGTTGTGGTCGAGCCTTGGGTCGAGGAGCCACAGCTGGTGGAGAGTTCTTTCCTAGGTTAGGAGACATCGCCTGCAGGAGAAGGCATAGGATTATTATGGCCAAGGCCAAGTTACCCTGGAAACCCCAAGTTCAGGATTCCTGGACAGATCACAGCCCAGGGCCTGCAGAGGACGGCTGAGGAGCTCACCGATGGAGGCAAGTGGGTACCACTTATTCCTAACTTTGCCAAAGCCTCATCCTTAGGGTCATTTTTCTTCTGAAAGGGTTTGACAGGCCTCAAGGAAGAAAGAGAAAGTTACTAGCGCACAGACAGGGTAATTCCCCGAGGAGAGAAACAGCGCTGGCCACAGAACCCCCAGGCCCACCTGGAGGGCTGCACAGGCACAGGCACGGGGCCTGGGCGGCTCTGGTACATTCGGATGATATTGCGTATTTCCCTGCTGGGTTGCGGGCGCTGAGGCGTGGAGTTGGAGCTGCTCACTGTAGGTGCCCTGCTAGGTGGTGGGCTTTGAGGTGTGGAGCTCTTCACCTTGGGTGCCCTGCCCGGGGTCGGCTTTTCCTCCTCTGCTGGTTCTGCACCATCCTTGGCACTGTTGGGCTTAGTTTGTTTCAATGGTTTCTTCACAACTGGAGGAGGAGGTGGAGGGGATGACTCTGCCAGGAAGAGTAAAGACAGTTGAGTCCTGTACCTGCTACCAAGCCACAGGAGCCACAGCCCGCCACACCTACCTGCTGTGTCCTCCTCCTCCTCCTCATCCTCATTCTCGTCTGTCTCCTCCTGGGGGATCTGAACCTTGGCTGGAGGCTTCACTGTCTTCACCCTGATTGGCTCTTGCCCTGTAAATGCCACAGATGGCCTTCTCTGTTACTTGTGTTTATTCAGTATTATAGGAGCCCTGCTTATCTGGACTCCTGGACAGGCCATGCTGTCAGGGGAGCAGAGCATGGCCTCCCCTCCCCAGGCTATAGGCATCTGTTACATTTCTGAATGGCTGCCACCCTGACCACCCTTACCCATCTTCTGGAAATAATCCCGTTTCTGTTGGAAGCTCCTAGGGCGCTGAGGCCTGCCAGTAGCCTCCTCTGGAGTGTCCCCCTGGCAGAAGAAATGAAGAACAGCCTCCAGTCGGCCATGGCCCTGTCTTCTCAACATCCCCTTCTGATGGTTTCTTGGACCAATCCTGCTTACGTTCCCAGTGTCTCATCTTGGTAGGTTTGACACCTACCTGCTGCCACATCCAGACCAGACCCAGGCCCAGAACTCTGCCTAGCCTTGGCTCCTTACTCTAGAGGAAGCATCCAAAGGTTCTGGGTCACTCTCTGGCTTCTCTTGGGAGGCAGGAGGCTTCTTGGGCTTGGGAGCAGTAGCTGAGGGTGGAGCCACGGCTGGGGGTGGAGCCACGGCTGGGGGTGGAGTCTGGGAGGGAGCCCCCGAGGCCTGAGCTTGGTTCTGGCGCCTCTGGTTCTGCTGCTCCAGAGACATGCTCATGGCCTGGGTGGTCATCTGCTGGGCCTGAGGAAAAGGAGAGGCAAGCCAGTAAGAGCCTGGCTGGCCCTGCCCCCATGCCCACACTCCCCAGGCAGCCCCAGGGCCCAGCCACACGGGTCTTACCAGGATCATGGCCTGCTGGTTGATGAAGTTCTGCTGCTGCACCGCCAGCTGCCTTGAGTCCAAACTGGGAAGCAGAGGCTGTGGCTGGGGCGGGACCATCATGGCTGTGAGATGTCCAGAGCAGGGTAAGTGCCGTGGCCAGGTTTCAATCACTTGATCCGGGTGCCATCTGGACTCCCCGCAGGACCCTTCCCCCACCTTCAGCCCTGAAAGAAGCTCCTGGTGCCCTCAATCCAGCCTCACCTGGGATGGTTGGGACTGTGCCCATTGCTGGCATCATGGGCACAGGTGCGGGCATCATCGCTGGCTGGTAGCTGGGCGCCTGCACCATACCTGGGTACACTAAGGGAGTGAGGTCTCTCAGGGCCATTCCTGCTTGGCCCCACAAACCTCCGTCTCCCTCCAGCCCCAGGCAAAGAGGAGAACATTGACCTCTGGGGTACTGGCCAGAGCGCCCATCTCAGTTGCCTGTGGAGATTCAGACCACCCCTGCTGTGGGGCCTGGGAAGCCCTAGAGAGACACCATCTCTACTCACCCATGGGGTAGCCAGGCTGGGTGGGCCCAATAGAGCCCCCTCCCTTCATGCGGCTACTCAGGGCCCTGCTGTGTTCCAGATCCTGAAGGGAGAAATGTTCAGTGTCCAAGCTAGAGCCTGGGAGAAACAGAAGGGGTGGCCACGCCCCGGCACCAAAGCAAAGAGAGGGAGGGTAGGCTCCTCACACTAAAGCCCGAGGAGAGGACCGGCTCAAAGATGTAGTCCAGGAAACCATCCATGTTTCCGGGCTTCCTGGCCTCACCTGTGGGGGCAAGGGTACATTGCCGTAGCTGCCTCTGAGGCCACTCCCAGTACTCCACCAGTCTCAGTGTGCCTTACCTGGGGGGCCGCTGCTGGGCAGTGTTGGGGCTGGACCTGGAGGGAATCCTGGGGGCAGGGAGGGAGCCTGAACGCCAGGGGCTGGAGGAATGTTCTCAGCTCTGCAGGAAACATGGGACTATTAAGAGGACTACTGTGGGCGTCACCTCTAAGAGTGGGCAGAAGTTTAGTCGGGAGGACTGAGCCATCCACAACATCTATGCACAGGACGACGGCAGGGTAGCTGTGGGGGTTACCAGCTGGGGATAGGGCAGGTGGGGGGTACCTACAACCCAAGAGGAGTGATGGGGTAGTTGTGGGAACCGGCTGGGTCTCCCAGGTCCTCAGTCCGGCCAATCAGGTCCAATACAAAGTCACAGCCAGCCAAATCTTGCCAAGCATCCCCAGAATGTAGTGACACAGACCAGCCACGAGGAGGCGCCTCCAAGCCTCTGGGTGGGACAAGAGTGAGAAGAGGTGGTCAGGGAGGATAGGCAGAAGACATCCTTCAGCAGTGGTCAGTCAAGTGTCTGAGGAAGGGAGCCAGGAGCCGAGCCTCACTCAGAAACCTCAGACTGCACTCCCATTTGTACCTCAGAGTCCTTCTGGCTAGCTCCAGGCTCTAACACTCTCGATTTGCTCCTCTGTGGAGCTAGGATATGGAACTTATGCTGTCACGGGACCCCTCCCTCATTTAGACTTTCTGTTCTCTCTCTGGAAGCTACAGGTTGGAGCCTGCCCATGTACCGTAAAGCCTTCCCTTTCTATTCATTGAGGAACAGTGTCCCTCCGAGCCTTGGGGGACCATGCTGTGGGAGAGCAGGCTGGGAGGGTCAGTGGTCAGCACCGGCTATCCTGGACTCCCCATACCTGCTATGTAGGATCCGCCCTGCAAGCTGCTCTCCTGTGGTCCAGGACTCCACCTCTGCGAAGTAGCTTTCCTCTGTGGGGGGTTGATGGGAGGTGAGGGACACAGGGCTCCACCCTGACAGTAAGTGTCTACTGTCCCCATACTGGGCAGGGCAGAGAGACATGAGGGTCACATCACAGGTCATTGAGGAGACATGAGAGTCTCAGGGCACTGAGGAGACATAAGAGTCTCAGGGCATTGAGGAGACATAAGAGTCTCAGGGCACTGAGGAGACATAAGAGTCTCAGGGCATTGAGGAGGCCAGAGAGAGCAGAGGGCAGGGCTGGCTGCACTGGCTGAGGGAGGCCGACCTTACCATTGAATGTGAACACATCCAGTACCATACGGCCCTGCCGCAATCCAGCCTTCCATTCTAGCTGTGTGGGTGGGTGGGTCCTTGAGGCCATGGGAGCCAGTTGTGTCTGCTCCAGGGCACCCAACAGCTTGTGCTGGCACAATGCTGCCATGCCCCGGGAGCCCTGGTCAGATACAAACCTGTGGGGATGGCACAGGGTTGCTGCAAGCTTGGTGGGGTGTGCGGACCCCCCCCCCAACAAACAGAGCCCTATCCACTGGGCTCCTTACTTGAGCAATGGCTTCTGCAGGGCAGGCGTAGGGGGGAAGGAGCTGAGGAGGGCCGCCATCAGGGCCCAGCCACGCTGACTCTGCTGCTCGTCCGGGTTGTGCCACAGCTGGGCCACTAACTGGCTGAAGAGCTCATCCCGAAGTCCTGGCCGGTGCTGTGCCTTCCGTATCAGGTACGTGCCCATGGTCTGCTCCTGCCAGGACTGCAGGGACCCC